TTTTTTGTTTAATGAAGGGAAAATGGTGTAATAGTTCAAATGCAATGATAAGTTATCTCTTGAATTACATCTCAGAAACTGTGTAGGAAATGTAAATTCTGACCCATTCCATAAGATAACTGTTTTACATCGTTGTATACTGAACATTTTGATCGCAGGTAAGCAACTATTTCCCAGCCCAGAGACATAGCCCAAAGACTTAACATTAACCTCCTTTGATTTTATAGAGATAGATCCAGAACTAAGGATATTAGAAGGAATTATCTGTACCTTCTCAAAGTTGTAGACAAGATATGTTGTTTACGTCCAACACGAATAAAATTGCATAACTCAAAATGATTCGAGCAAAACCGGTCTTTTGTTAAAAGGAAGAATGGTTAATAGAAATTGGTCTTTTTGAGTGACATAATCGTGTATCGTCATCGATCCGTGTCGTTGAACAATGAAACAATTTGCTGTGAAATTAGTGAAGATAAAATAGCAGTTTGTGCGAAAACTGCGGGTCTACGGAGTGGAAACTTTTCGGATTGAACTCAGCGTGTTCGAAAGTGTTAGTTCCTGTAAAAATATTTCAGATCTAAAACATGCTTAATGAAAATCGTTTTCTAGGCACTTGAGGTCACAACACACGGACTAATTCACCGCTATTTGGTGAAGATTATTGGGTAAAAGAAGTGGCGGGGAGAATGTTTGGTTAACAAGGACAAGGAACGCGAGCCAAATCAGCATATTTAGCGAGAGAAAAAATTTAAAATTAAATTAGGGCTGCCGCTCAGCGGGTTAAACATTTTATCATGCAGAATAACTCCCAGGATCAAAGTCTTTTCAAAATGCGAAAGATGTTCAACAAAAACTTACCGAAAATATATCTGTTTCCATAGTTTGTCTTTAATCCGATGTAGACATTAATTCCATAACTTTTAGAAAGTTTGTCACTTTGTCTATAATATGCAAACCAGGTTTCAAACGAACTCTTATCTTTCCCTTTATAATTGACAGACAAGCTTCCTTGCGGTGTCTGGGTTATAGCACGATAGATGTTCTCGTTAGGCTTTTGAGCGCAAGCAACTCTATCTAAACTGACTGAGTCAACGTAAAGATAAAACATATCAAGATCATAACCAGAACCAGGCTTATTTAAAGCAGCGAGACATCCCTGTCTTTTTAGATTCAACATGGCACCATTATCACGAAAGCGAAACTGGGCAGCTGGATTCAGACAGCTGTTGACGGAAAATTCCAGAAAGAACAAGTTTCCCTGACTGTCGCTTGACTGTATTTGACCTGTGTCATTAATACAACGTACCGAGGTAGAGCCATAGTTTGAGAAAAGTTTCACAAAGAAACAAGCTGCACCTGAAAAACAATGCAAAAGTGTGAAATAATACTGCAAATATCAGTATTGATATTTTTCGGGTAATCGGTTATTCAAAATTTTTGTTTATTTCGTTCGTTCATAACAGTTACAAAAAGTTTAGGATCCTTGACCTTGCAGCTTGTGTAATTTCTGTAAAGCGAGAAAAAATGTTGGAAATTGCAATTGTAAAGTTGGCTTACGCGTTTTTTAAACGAAAACTCTAGTGGCGCCATTTTATACTTGCTCATACTGTGTTTAAAATACTATAAACACATCAACTTTGACAGTGTAAGTGAGCATTTATTATAATGTTCCTGCTATATTATGAACGAAAAGTGGAATCGTGAAAATTGAAGTAAGGTTCTGAAATTACCTGCTCCTTCTTTGTAAACGGTACGAACAGCGAATAGTATAGGTACCGGATGGCTTTACGTATCCCGTAGCGGCGCTAAAAACATCTATCCGTTACGGAATATACATGTGCAACTTTCAGAAGCTGAGTAAAATAACATTTCTCCGTGGCGTTGTAATAATTCCTCTGCAAATAGCGTTCCATCAGTAAAGGTTCGGATAGGTGTTTTCACGTCGCTATGGAAAGCTATCCGGTACAAGAGGAAATTCCACATTGGACTTAATTTTGACAAATATGTCTTCCTGTTGTAACTCTCCGGTGTTATTACCCCCTGTTGGCCAAAGTGACCATAACTCCGTACTGTGGTCCTTCAATAAAAATACAGCTAAATATGGTACCTCGAAAGTGAAAACTACACAAGGTAGCAATTATGACAGGAGAGCATTCGGTAAGTGGCTAGCTGATATAAACTGGAACAACTTGTACCGCGCTGAATCATGTGAACAAAAGTTAGATTTTTTTCAAACAGTTATAAATACTGGTTTGGACTGTTTTTTCCCCAGTAAAATTGTAAAGTTGCACGATCATGATAAACCATGGGTTACAGTCGAATTTAAGAAAATTATAGAAAATAGACAAAGAGCGTTCCGTCAGGGCAAAAGTTTGCTATATCGTAGATTGAGAAATCTTGCCAATAGAGAAAGTAAGAGACTCAAGTCAACCTTCCTTAAGAAAAAGATGGATGAGTTAAAACTAAACCCCAATGCTAAAAAATGGTGGCAATGTATAAAACAGCTTGCGGGTTTCGCCAAGAACAAAACATTCTCTAATTTCGTTGTAAACAACCAGGTTTTTACTGGTAAAGAGTTAGCAGATAAAATCAATGATGTTTTTGTCTCATCTACCCAAGATATTCCTCCCTTGAATAAGTCTCCAGTTGATGACCTAATTGAAAATGGCAGTACAAGTATCCTTCCACAGTTTATTATCGAAGAAAAAGATGTATACTGTAAATTGTCCGCCATCCCCGTTTCCAAATCACCTGGTCCTGACGGAATACCTAATTGGGTACTTAAATCTTATGCATATGTTCTTTCTTCCCCTGTGACATCGATTTTCAACGCTTCGAT